AAAATTTCAATCGTGAATCACACTCACTCACAGGGTGTCTAAAATTATTCACGTTCACTCACAATCACGGCCCGTGAGCGTGAGTGAGCGTGAATCACGTGAAACATGATTCACTTTACCGACACTAATCCGGATATAAGTGCGGTAGTTTTGGTGACATGCAAAATTTGTGAAATTCACTTATAAGTGCATGCACCTATATGCGGCGTAATACGGTAATAATATTTATAAAATATATATTTATAATCATATTATTACATAATGTGATTATTAAGTTTGTTTATATAATGCGCCCTTGGTTAATTTATAATAAATATTTTTTTGAATCAAATTAAATCATTTATTCACTTATTCACAACATGCTCACAATTTTTATAAAAATAAAACTAATAATAATAAATGATAAATGTCAAGTAAAAACTTATATTGTTAGCAAAAATGGTCAATGTCATTATCAGATTAAAATTTGTAAAAGACATTATATAATAAGATAGTCACATTTGGACTATTACATTTTACATTTTTTGTTTTTCAAACCGGATGAGGGGTTAAAGAGATACAGACAAAAAGCCAATTAAAGAAGGAGATAAATATGATAATTTTAATTGTAGTTTCATTATAAATATTGAATTATAATCGGAAATCTATTAAACCCTCAAGGTGGTCCTGGTCCAAAGAGTGGTTAACTTATAAACTCCGGTGATTTCATGTTTAAGAGAATTACCAACTTTTTGTGATCTCATGAATTTATTTATTGCTTAACAATTATTATATTGTTTCAAGAATTTAATTATATGTCTAAATAATTTTAAAAACATGATATTAAATTGAAAGTTATTATTATTATTTATTGAATTGTGTAAGCAAATGTTTCCCAATCCGTTCAATTCCTGATCTGGTCATCATGTAACTAATTAAATAAAAATTATAATTAACTAATAATAAATCATTTTATATCCAAAATTTGTTGTTAAATAATTTGTTGTTAATACATTTTAACTGTAAATGTCCACACCATGTACAAACTTATATCAATGGGTGTATAAGACCTTAATTAACGTCTATTAAAATCTTTAAATAAATATATCTTGTGTTAAACTATTAGTAGAAATGATAAATAAGTGGCCTAACTATGAAGCCAATAAAATTGTAGTTATAAATTTATTTAGTTAAGGCCACCTATTTATCATTTATACCGATATTAGCCAAGTTATACTAAGTTAGTATACATAACTCTATTGACCTACAAAATATAAACAACTCACGCGCTTCATAACGAAAAAAGTACAAATTGCAAACGGTAATATAACAATTTCCGCCGGGGCAGCTCCTATCGCAACGATAGCTATAATAGTACCCACCGATATAATCGCAACTTCCTTAAACACTCTGATCATCAAATAAAATACATTATAAATTATTAAAAATTACTAAAACACTCAGCTAACATATGCAATTTAGTATATGTCAATAATGACTTTAATGTGCTAATTTGGTGCTTATAGCTATGCGTAAAAAATTAAACTTAACCTTTTATTATACTCAGAAAATTTAATCGCATTCAACGATTCAATCGTATCAAACGTTTGTTCCAAATCCGCCACCAACTTATTCCTATAGGGTGTAGAAAACTCACGGCCGCCAAACTTTTTGATCTCATCAAACTGTTTAATGGCATCCGCCCTAAGCTTTTCATGAAATTTTAAGAGATTTGTAGGGCTCATGCATTTCTCTCCCTTTCCACAGATGGCCTCCATCGAGGCCAGGTATGTATCTTTGGCGGTGACCACTGCGGCCAGGTTGTTGGCCTCGGCCGTAGCCTCTAGCAGTGAACTAGGTTCCGGTATTGATCCGCCTGTATTGGGGTAGATTTAAATGATCATTATAGAAATATAATAATTTATTACGGAGAATATAACTATAAACGTATATTAAACCACATATCACAGCATAAATGTCTAAGGGGTGGGCATGCTTTTTTAAAGAAAATATTAAAATTATGATGGTAATTTCTGGCTTATATTTGTGCAGACTTTTACCATTGTCGTAGAGTTTGCAGTTAAAACAGTACAATATTGTGACAATTTTCTTACATATAACTATGCTGAATTTTTAACCACAATTAATTCGCCACGTTTGCTCCCACCCCCTGCCCCGAGCTATGAGATATAATCTAAGATTACAGTTAAATTCTATCTACAATTGGTATATTCAAATCAAACGAGAGAGAGAGAGATAGGATTAATAAATAACTTACTTTTTAGAACATTGTAATACACTTTGAAGTACTCCAACAAATCTTTTCCGGTAACCTGACGGCCGCCGATCTCCTTCACGACCACATTCTTCGAGTCTAACATCAGCGGCACAAACGTCTTCAGACAGTCGACAAACTCCGAGTCAATATCGGCCACTCGGCCATTGAAATCCTTATTAGTGGCCACTTCTCTGCCCGGATATGGCATCAAATAGCAGCCAATATCGGAAAAATACGAGCGGATATTTTGTCTTAGTCGCTGCAACTCTACCGCCTGATTCTCCTTAATGGCAAACTTTTTGTTCAGAAACATATTACCGCCGGTCAGACCGTACGGGTGATCGTATGGGAAACTCCAGTCCCGGATGAGAAACATTAGCTTCTGGAAGGGTATATCGCCGGTGGCCTCGAGCGCCAATCGGCCGTATTCGGTGAATATCTCCAACACCTGAAGGTTGTCCTCCTGGAGATTGTGCATCAGATTGAACACTGTATAAATACGTGAAAATTATTTGATATTATCAGCTAGAACTTAAATAGCCATGCTTAATTGCCTCAGCAAAACAAGATAAAAACAGCGGTTCTAGAGTGACCAGAAGCAGTTTTATTTATAAGCCATACATACCCTGTATTGATGAAGTCATAGTTGACAGCGCGAACACAGTGGCCAAATCCCTGACGGTGTACTCCGAGTCAAACGCCCCCTGAGTGTCCATCAAAACGATGGCCACCTCCTGGCCCTCATCCAGTTTGATGACAAACGGCTCCGACCACATCAATATACCTGTGGTGACCAGTTTTGCGCCGCCCCTCCACGCAAACCCTTTCATAGAGGTGTCTGTCGAGCCGAGCCAGTCGTCTGATGCGCCGCAACCGGACTGCAGGTGTCGCAGAAAAAAGTTCAGCATAAATTACTTGCCTATAAGTGCCACCCAATCGGATCGGTACAGTTTGTATACAAATAATTAGTAATTTTATGATAATTTAACCTCAATTCTGACCAAATTATGTTCAAAAACAACTTGAAAGTACAGTACAACTAGGTAGCATTTATATATAAAACTGACCTTTACGAAAATCGCCAGCAATACTGACCACCACAACTGGTTTGTCACGGATCGAGTCGCGCAACAGAAAGGCCTCGAGTGCATCTAAATCCAGTTCAAACCGGCGCTCATCACTCACTTTGAGCACCTGTATGGGCGACCCGGGGTAACGCTGGCGGGCATTATTGGCTTTGGTTTCATTGTTTGAGCAATTTTTCAATAAACTATACGACTTGGCGTTTGGTTTCATTATGTGTAAGGTTAGTCCGAGTAATGTGTGATACCCGTAGGGCTAAGGTACTAGTAATATAGTTTGCTGGTCACTACTGTATTACAATATCACACGTATGTGTGTATTATTAATATTTATGAACGTAGCGACCCAGACACTTGTTTATTACATGTTTACTCTTTTGGTTATCAATATTATTTAACATAAATTATTAACATAACATTAATTAACTCTATGTTAGTTTACGAACTGTTTACGTCTGTATCCCATGTAATAAATAACGCTTTATCTGCACTATTAATGCTAATAATGTAATAATTAGTTAAAACTTCAAGAAATATGCACTGATAATATCCATAGTTTTAATATTTAATTTATACAAAAACTTGCAATAAAGTCATAACAACTATGTTATCAAATTAGCTATAAATTATAAATCGTAATATATTATAATTGATAATCATTCAAACAATCATAATCTTACATAACAAAAAATATTGCGCAAAAACGATATCAATAAGAAGTTGTAACATGTCGGTCAAATAATTATAGCCATTTGGATATTCAAATATCTTTAAAAATAAAATAAATAATACAATTCTACTAAAAAAATATTTAAGACCCAAATATCTGCAGGCCAAAATAAGTTATATTATTACACAATGTTAAGTCTATGGGATTCTTTGAGCCTTACCCAAATTGTGGTTAACCCGTAGCATCGCGTGTAATCTTTTTTATAGGCAAATATCATTTTTAATTAATTATATCTAACGTATGTATAAACTTACATGTACAGTTATTTTATGTTAAACTTATTGGTATCTGTTTCAATTTCTTATTACAAAACTACATTAATTATTTAATTACAATACTAGTTATAGTGAATACTAATTAATTCTATACTAATTGTTATGAAATACAATATGTATGGCTCACTTTCATATTGTATTGCAATATAAGATCTCTACTTAATGTTTTACGCCCTAATTAATTGTGATAGTATTTATTGTTTGTTTATTTGCTTGAAATAATTGTAGTTCTGGTTGGATAATGCATTTTTGTAAAGTATAAACTTTATATAAATTGATTAGCAATAAAATCACATAAGGAAACATCTGTATAAAAATATACAATTTCTGTATACGATTTATAAATTAAATATCGTATAAATTCAAGTATTTTACAAGTATAAATTTTAAAGTGAATTATTGTTTAAAATATAATACTATGGAAGTAAGTGAAGGATTGGTAACCATTCCGAGTCCATGGGATCGCATCAACATATTCTCAAAACTTACATTCAGGTGATTTATAAACAAATTATTTAATTAATTTTATTATTGATGTTACATTTGTAAATTTGTAAATAGAATTCATATTTTATTTATTTGTGAAATTCATTCATTTATATTTTAGGCTATTTTAAAATAAATTACCCCTATTTTCAATAACAGAATGTTAAACACAAACACTGCCAACAATTACACACATACTGTAGTACAGTAACTGTACACACTTTCCCAGAATAAACTGGACATCAAAGTGACCCTATTTAAAGCCCAAACTTACAACACATACAATCAGTCTAAACAAAAATGTAAACTCAAATTAAAATGCACGCAATTTGTGTGTTTCGCACTATTGGTGGCATTATTTAAAATAAACGTTTTAAATAAAATTCATTTTTTAAACAAAAGTTTAAATTAAATTAAATATAACTATCATCATTATTTTACATTTATCATTTAATTAATTATAATGAATTAATATTTAACTGTAATGTTTATTAATATTAATATATAATATTCAATTAGTTGGGTGTGGAGTCTATTCATTCGGGCGCACAAAAGGGATCTTAATTTTAGTGATGTCTACCGGTGCTCAAAATCAGATGAGACACATCTGGTCCGACATAAGCTTGAAATGTAACAGGAACATTTTATTTTATTAGCGATTATAATATTACAAATACTGTATAAAGTTTACATTAATTTTGATAGCAAATGGGATAAACAACTAAAAAGTAAAAGAAAGCCATCGCTATGTTGGGCACTAATGACATCGTTCGGACCCGAACTTATTGTATGTTATATTCCCGATACGATCAGGGTAATAATTAAATGGATAATAATTTTAAAAAAACAATAATTATTATACTAAATAAAGTAATTAATTTTTACTCAATTATCCTTAATTAACTCTTTAATTAACTTTAATCTTTAGGAATTAGGGCTCAACCTGTTTCAGGCCTATTGCACCACTTATTTAGTGAGATATTTCAACAATGACCCCAACACTAGCCAGTGGTGGGCGCAGTGGGCAGCCGTGGGTATTGTGTTAACAGCCATTGGAATCATGTTTATTGTAAATTTGAATAATTTTTATAAAACTCGAGTGGGGGTTAGGATCCGGGCCGCCTGTTGCGCTCTTATCTACCGCAAGGTCTGTACAAATGTTGGTAATTGTGTCATGTATAAAACGTAATATATGAAACATAAAATTAACATATATAACAAACAAAGATCACACGGCGATGCTATACGTTAACCACAATTCGGGTGATGCTCAAAAAAAAAGTTTAGCATTTTTCATAGATTTTATATAATTACAATAGAATTATCATAGACTCAGCATTGTCCATAGGATTAGCATTAGTCCCATAGATATTGATAATACCCATGTTATTCCTATGCCACAGATTTTGCATTACCCATGTTATTCCTATGCCATAGTCCTAGCATTACCCATGTTATCACTATGCCATAGACTTAGCATTGCCCATGTTATTCCAATGTCATAGACTTAAGCTGCAATCCCATGTTAAATTCCATAGAGCGGGGGGCAAAAGGGGAGAGTGTAATATTATATTTTCTGGGCTTTCTTAGTTGGCTAAAATTTTAGCTTTCCATTAATTCCTGAAAATTATAATTGTTTTTTGTTATATTGAGTGAGAAATTTTTTAATTAACACTATTTTATACAATTACTAGTATATTATGTATTTTGTAATATTTATCTATTAATAATTTTTAATTATAATAAAGTCAATGCGTTTAAGTCACTCATCACTCGGACAGACAACCGTTGGCCAGATATTGAACATCATGTCTAACGATGTCCACAGATTTGATGAGGTATTAGGTTTTGAATTAACCATTGATGATTAAAATTACTAATTAACCATGGTGTTATGATTTTGAGAAATATAGTTTGCAATAATTTCGCGCTCATTGTTTACGGCGCCACTGCAGGCGGCGATTGTGTTATACCTGTTGTGGCCATACCTTCGGTGGGCGTGTTTGGCCGGTATGACAGTATTGGTGCTGTTTATACCATTTCAGGCACTGATGGGCCGTTTGTTTCGTAATATACGCCTAAAGACGGCCAAAATAACTGACAGTCGAATCCGTTTAATGCAAGAAATTATCGCCGGAATGCGTGTCATAAAGATGTACGCCTGGGAACAGCCCTTCGCACAGTTGGTCGCAACCGCTCGCAAGTAATGCCACAAATGATATAATACAGTCTGTCCTCGATATAAAAAACTGCGATACAAAGAGAAAATCCAATCGAACGGAATGTTTTTTATGACATACCGTACAAACCGTGAGAATTGTAGATATAATACACACATTAATATAAGGGGCACAATTTTAGCTGCCAAAATCCCTTTATATTGAGGGCAGACTATATACAAAAATATTGTACACCAATAATATATTGTATATCAGGTCTGAAGTGAAACAAATCCGATGGTCAAACTTTTTGAAAGGCGTTAATCAGTCGATTAATTTTGTGTTAATACGGGTTATAATATACGTTTGTTTTCTAACATATGTACTGACGGGTGGGCTGTTGTCGGCGGTGACAGCTTTCGCTACTATTGCTTACTTCGATGCACTCCGTATTAATATAGGGAAGAACGCACCCATGGCAGTTGCCGCTCTGGGTGAAATAATTGTAGTAATCAAACGTATGCAGGTATATTATATTGTAATTCAATATGTTTTATTAAGTTTAATTTACAATATTCAACACGTTTATTAAAAATAGGATTTTTTATTACTCGAAGAGATGAGTGGTTTGGATGAGAGGGAAGGGAAAGACAACGAGGCGTTCATTTCGGGGGAAAATGAGTTAATTCTCGGAGTAATGGAAAACACTTCGAGTAATGAAGAAAAAAGCGTTTTTATGGACAAAATGATCGTTCGTTGGAATAATGTATGAATTCTTTGATGTCTTTCAACACGTGTTTTGCCGGTATGACAGTAATGGTGCTGTTTATACCATTTCAGGCACTGATGTGTCGTTTGTTTAGTAATATACGCCAAAAGACGGCCAAATTAACGGACAGTCGAATCCGTTTAATGCGAGAGATTATTACAGGAATGCGTGTCATAAAGATGTACGCCTGGGAACAGCCCTTCGCACTATTGGTCGCAACCGCTCGCAAGTAATGATATAAAACAGTTTGTCCTCAATATAGTGGACTGCAATACAAAGGAAACAGATTTGTCATGGACTTTGCAATAATTTAATAGAGTTAACATGCAATAATCTGATATGATCAATATTATCGATAGAATTACCATTATTCCCGTAGACTTAACGTTGCCAATATGATTAGCATTAATCCCATAGACTTAACATTACACATAGGTTAGAATTGCCATAGACATAGCATTCCCTATATTATAGTATAGCCATTGACTTATGCCGTAATCATATGTTAATTTCCTATATATTCAAGAATCATATGTTAAAGTATAGCCATAGACTAATATTGTAATCTTATGTTAAATCCCATAGATCCTGGGGCGGGGTGGAGGTAGGGGTAACCGAACGATCCTATAAACTATTTTAATATTATATATTGCTGAATTGTGGTTAAACATATTGTAAAGCTTTATATCAATAATATACTGTACATCAGGTCTGAAGTGAAACAAATCCGATGGTCAAACTTTTTGAAAGGCATTAATCAGTCGATTGATTTTGTGATAATACGAGTTATAATATACGCCTGTTTTCTAACATATGTACTGATGGGTAGGATGTTGTCGGCGGAGACAGCCTTCGCCATTATTGCTTACTTTGATGCCATGCGTATTACTATTGGGACGAATGCACCCCGGGCCGTTGCTGCTCTGGGTGAAATAATTCCAGTAATCAAACGTATGCAGGTATATTATTGTAATAGTAATATGTTGTGATTTATAAAGTTTAATTTTTAATATTTTAACCGTTTATTTAAAATAGGATTTTCTATTACTTGAAGAGATGAGTGGTTTAGATGAGAGGGAAGGGAAAGACAACGAGGCGTTCATTTCGGGGGAAAATGAAATAATTCTCGGAGTAATGGAAAACACTTCGAGTAATGAAGAAAAAGGCGTTTTTATGGACAAAATGAGCGTTCGTTGGAATAATGTATGAATTCTTTGATGTCTTTCAACATGTGTTTAAAGTTTTATGAATACATTAGGAGACGACTGAACCCACGCTTCGGGACATTAGTTTGAGTGTAAAACCCGGACAACTGTTGGGTGTCGTCGGAGCCGTTGGCAGTGGAAAGGTATGGGTTGTCATACATTCATTATATTTATATTATAATTACTATTTATAATTATTATTAATTAAAATTAGAGCTCATTATTAATGGCAATTCTGAACGAGATATCGCTAGTGTCGGGTCGAGTGGTAGTGAGGGGTCGGGTGTCGTACGCGCCGCAGGAGTCGTGGGCTTTCATAGCGAGTGTTCGACAGAATATTCTGTTTGGCTCTCAATATAATGAAGAGAAATACAATCGAGTGGTGAAAGCGTGCGCTTTGGACACAGATTTCAAACTCATGCCATTTGGGGACAAAACACTTGTGGGGGAGAGAGGGCTGGCATTGAGTGGCGGACAGAAGGCTAGGCTGAGTCTGGCCCGGGCTCTGTACCACTCGGCAGACATCTACCTCTT